CTTTTGCATTACAGCTGCCTTACCATGGTATAAGAGGGAGCTGACAGGTGGAGTGGAATCAATGTTGGTATGTCAACAAAGGGCAGACTGAGATCCTTCTGCCTGTATCTAGTTTCCCAGGCCTAAAAGCATATGGAGGCAGAAGTCATGAGAAAAGCAGGGAACCTGTGGGTCCAAAAGCCCAGCTAGTTAACCTTTCATAACAGCTTGTTTTTGGTCAGTTGTCATTAACATGTCTTGGCCCTTTGAAGCTGTCCCAAACCAGCAAAATACTTATGCAAAAAAAAAAAAAAAAAACCTCTCCTAACCAATTCTGTTAGCTATATGCTTCCTGCCAACATCTATCAGTCCTTATCTATCCTTTAGTAATGGAACATGGCCCCTAGCTTTGGGGAATATGACTGGCAATCGTTCCAATTTTGATCTTTTTTTTTTTTAACCGTAGGCTTGGTTATGGGCCCTGCTTTCATACTATTCTAGTGTCACCCTGTATGATCATATGATTAACAGTATTGATTTCTGTAGAAAACACAACTAATAAAGATATATTTTAAGACTTTCTTCTTGGATTCCTGCTCCAATCAGCATTGCTTCTTTTGAGTGGAGCTATGATACTCCCTTAAAAGCACTTCCCACTCTATCTTTCCTTCATGTGGTCCTTCCTAAAGATTTAGGGCATAGCCAGACAACTGTGTGATAGTGCAATCCACTATTCTTTCAGCTGGCAGAATAGTATGTTGGCATCAAAATTGCTGCCCCAATAACCAAGCCCAATTTACTTTAGTAATGAGGCCAGTGAGTGGTACGGTTCTTATTGTATTACTGTGGGACAAATTAAGGAAAGTGATTAATGGATGCCCCCAGCTTCATTTCTCCTCCACTAAGTATCACCTGCTAGTAGGAAAACCACAAATTTCTCTCCTTAACATGTGCTGGGGCAGGGTTAGATGAATGTTGGTAAGTGCTTTGGATGATGGGTTAAACTGCTTGACTGAACAGGTGGCAGGCAGAAAGGTGCTCTGCACATATAACACATCAGTTACCATACTTCTGAACACAGTGTTCTTTTGAAATAATGCTAAGCCTTATCTAAAAATAGCCTGGCTGATGGGTCACAGAATCTGAGGAGGGTGCAATGAAGTATAAGAGAGTTCTCCAAGTGCTTTTGCTTGGCACATCCCCTCTTCCATGCTGTGATCTGGGTTTGATCTGATTTCTAAGGTGGCTTGCCCATATCTCAGAAGGGGCTGGGAAGAGGGAAGCTGCTGGAACTTCCTGTCTCTCCCCTACTCCAAGGCAACTGCAGTAGTGCAAAACAAGTGAAAAAACTATAATTACATCGATCTGTTCAGAATACAAATCAGCCTTCTTCCCAGGATACAAATCAGCAGCAAAGGAAAGAGTTCTAATCCAGTTTCTTAAACACAAGTCTAGCAATGTTTTAAAAGAGTGTTAAACCCATCTATGTAAGGAAACTGCGTAAGCTATATGTAGAAGCTTTGTTTTACAGATGTTTTCCATTTTTAAATAAGTATTTTGTCCCACTATAATTGTGGTTCTCCATTTCTGGATTCTCAGTTTAGTTGTAGAAAAAGAGCGGGAATTCCCAATATCATTTCTGGGGCTCAATTTTTTCTCCTTGCCCATCCCCAGCTATTCTAGCTATTCTGTCCCTAATTTCTACATGCTTCTACATTGCCTTCCTGAATGGAAAGACGATGGTAACCCAACCCAGTGTCAGAGCAGTATGTATTTACACAATGAATTAATGAAACAATTCCAGGAAATGAAATGTAAAAATTAAGGAACTTTGAGTGATGGAGATGGGTATGCATGGCTCTGTGTGTGTGTGTGTGTGTGTGTGTGTGTGTGTAGGCAGGTTTACACCTGAGGTTTCTTAGCATTGGAGGGTGGAAACGGATAGGAACGAAGCCAGAAATACTCATGCAGTAGACAGTAGTGCTGTTTATTGCTATATAAGCTTAATGCAAAGTGTATTTACAGGACATTCAATGTATTGTCGAAGGCTTTCACGGCTGGAATACGATGGCTGGTGTGGGTCTTCCGGGCTGTGTGGCCATGTTCTGGAAGTTTTGTTTCCTAATGTTTCGCCGGCCTGGAAGACCCACACCAGCCATTGTATTTACAAGACTTTTAGTGAATAAACCAATTCTGAAATTATCTAAAATAAACCAATCAGAAGTCCATCTACATAAGGAACCAATCAGCAGCCTGTTACAGACCAATCAGGAACTGGTACTTTTAGAATTTCTTCAGAATGGACCGATTGGAAAAGGAACCAAAACAGGAACCAGCTTTCCTGGACACCTGTGACATGGACCAATCAGAAACTAGCTTGCCAGGGTCAAATACAACAGCCAGTCAGCCCATTTTAGTTGCCTGTGAGCTGCCGAGAGGTATATCACAAAGCAGCTCACTCTGCCTCTGAAGATACCAGCCATAGCTGTTGGTGAAACATCAGAACAAAAGAAAACTAGTCCATGGCCATTCAGCTTGAAAGTTCACCATTGCTTCAGTTTTAAGGAGTTTACCCTTAAAGGGTTAAACCCCCTTTTTTATCTGCAGCTGGTTACATGCCCATACTCTGTACCTGACAGACCATTGCAGAGAAAAAATGTTGACAGCTGCACATAACATTTCAGGGCAATTCAACTTTCCATAGGGACCCATTCTGAAAAGTTTGCTTGAGGTCCTGAGATTTCTGTTTATGCCCTTATGTGTATGTGTGGTGAAATCCACGCAGTTATACTACACCTGGCTCTAGATTTTGAATATATGTTTGTTCTATGTACATAAACGTGCACATAATTAGTTGTAATTCTGCATGGCAATGGTTTTTGTTTTTGTTTTCATGAGGGAGGAGAAAGGCAGAATTATGTCCAAAATGAAATAAATGACAATTTACAACTGGGCCTCCCAAGTTTCAACACAACATTCTGGCTATCACTTTCAAAGGTATTGAATGAGGTATTACTTGCTTGCAACATGCCCCCAAGGACATGCATACGTTAGCTGTCACCAAGTTTTGTTCAGTGCTACACCAAAACTGAAAATATGAAAGGAGAAATACCTTCTAGAAAGATAGCAAGAAAGTAAGCTAGAATTAGTGGATGGCATTGAAAGATCAGTATTTATGACAAGGATGGTGGCAAGGCAAGATTAGTGGGAAGAAACACTGGATTTTCTAGAGAAACTAGAAAGCTTCCTTTTAAAATAATATAGAACTAACAAATGAAAAGAAACTATAAGAGGCTAGGAGTTTGAGTGCTTGAGGTGCTGGCTTTGCTGTTTTGACACTTTCTAGATGTAAATATCTATTTTTCTATCTATGAATTTAAAAAGTTTGTAAGGTGGATGGCTTTGACTGAGAAAGGTGTAAGTTCCATACTATCATTTTTTGGCTGTTCAACTTCTCAGCCTTCCAGAGCTACTGTTGTTGTTTTAATTAAAATTGCCAAGAGACTGTTCTATTCATTTGCAGTGTAATTTTTTTGTTTAGTTTTCAGACATCAGATAAAACTTTCTTTTTTTCCTAGTATGTATTATATAGGTTACTATTTTCATTATTTGCAATGTGCTTATAATAGAAAGTTGTGATTAATTTCAGTGGTAATTGTTTTTTAAGATGTGTTCATGTGTTTCTACAAAGCACCTTTGTTTTATTGCTTAACCTTTTTTTCATCTGCTTATAAAAAGTAACCATATAGCTTTTTAGTTTTAAGGATTGCAGAATAGGATATAATTGAGTGATAAGAATGCTGACTCTGGGTGCAGGAAGTCCCAAACTGGTCCCCACCAACTTCACAGAATTGGAATGGTCCATTTTGGCTATCAAGTCCCATCCTCAGCTCTATACAAAATGCTAAGTTGAAATATCCTTGACAAATGGCTATCTTGCCTCTGCTTGCTGAATAATTGGAGCAACCACATGAAATAATTTTGGATTACTGTAGTTTGATCAGCAGCTGAACTTTGCATAAGAGTTTTGTTCAAGGGTGTGCGTATGTATATATTTATGAAACTGTGAAAATGTCTCAAGAATTAGAATGCCGTTCCTTGTAATTACATTATTTTCTTATTTTTAACGTAATTTCTTCCTTCCATAGCTCTGCTTTGTGGTAAACTTTGGATGGTATGAATTTTTCTCTCAGTCCCTATTTCAAAATAATAAACAAATAAATAAACCTGGATGTATCAATGCAAGTATTTCTTATGAAAATATAAGCAGGATAAATAGAAGATTTCTAATTCTCTCCTGTTTTAGAGCAAGCCCCTGATCATCCTAGTACTGTGTACACTATGTCACCACCTACCAGTGTATTTTGTGAAAGTGCTTGTGAGATAGAGCAGTGTTCACTAACTCATTTGTAATGATAATACAACTGCTAGCCACACTTCATGGAGGCCATTATACAGTCTTAAAAATAAAAAGCAATATGCATCTACAACTTTATACGCTGTGCTTTTGGAAATGTGGTCAAATAGAGTTTCCAGCCACACATTAATACTATTCCATGGTCATTAGAAGGGCTTGGCCAGCAGGCACAGTAGGAATTAATAGGATCTGCTTTATTTCTCTTTTAGTTTCTATGAACCAGGGTTAAGCAACATGATATATTCCAAGGGTTTTAGATTACAACTTCCATAATCTCTTGCTTTGACAAGCTAGCTGGGGCTGATTGGGTTTGAAGTCCAAAATAGATGGAAGCATCAGGTTGCCTACAGTATCTCTGGTTTACACACACTGCATATTCACTTGCATTTAATAATAGGATGTTGATTTGAATGTCCATCTGTAACCCATCTGGAGCTGAAATCAAGTCTGAGAATGTGCTGAGTGCTTCTTGCAACACATTGTGGGATGTATCTTTACTTTGGGATCTGTGGAGTTCAGTAAAAGTATACATTTAAGTTAAGAAAAATTACAGCAACAATCTGTTGCTGATGTTTTTAACAATATGACTTTTGTTTTCTCATAGCTTCAATAGTGCTTCAGAAGTGGTGGTGCCAAATGCAGCCATGTCTAGAAGGAGAGGAGTGTAAAGTACTACCAGATTTGTCTGGATGGAGTTGCAGTACTGGAAACAAAGTAAAGACAACTAAGGTAGGTTTTAACTGAAGTAATGTAACCTCAGTGAGTGAGTGCTCAGACTTACATGTTTTGGTCAAACTGTACACTATTCTTATAATGTTTAAAAATCTAATTACTAGATGGGCTGCTGAATGAGAATTGCAGTGATCTGTTTATTGTTTAGTACATATGGGCTAAGAACACCAAACAGTACTCCTATGGGATGGCTCAGAGACTCCAGTATACCTCTCAGCCATTGTCCAGGCCAACTGTCCTATGGATCTTAGTAAAAATAGGTTACAAACTCATGTTGAGGGAAAGAAAGGAAACACAGTGGGGAAGCAATATAAGCAAAGGATAAGGTTTTTTTATGGGTTGATTGTCCCATGGGCACTATCAAAGTGCCCTTGTTCTTGAGCTTATTTTTTATTGGCAAGCAGCTACTATTGTGCCTGGCTATGAAGGATTGCTGTGGTCAGTACAGTGGCAGGAGGTATAATAGAAAACAATGTAAGAAGCCACATGACAGGCAAGCAATGAAACTCCATAGCTGATGAGATGATTATATGGAAAAAGGACATAATACAGTAGTCACTTCCTGTTTTCCATGCCACCTATCTTTCATATACATACTACCATTTCTATAGCTATTTAATTAATAATAATAGATTAATCGATTTTTTTATCCCACCTTTATTGTTTTTATAAATAACTCAAGGCAACGAACATATCTAACACTCCTTCCTCCTCTTATTTTGCCCACAACAAGAACCCTGTGAGGTGAGTTGAGCTGAGAGAGAGTGACTGGCCCAAAGTCACCCTTTAAACCTGTTTAGCTTGATATTCAACTATTTTATGAAGAGGTTAACCTTGAGTATTCCTTTAATATTTTGATGTATTCTGAGTAGTACATTTTAATATAATCCTGTGGCTACTTGCACAGATTTAACATTTCTTTTTCCATCGAAAGGTGCACAACAATAAGGGAAACAGCAAAGTTGTTGGCAAAATTGGAAGAAAGATACATTTAAACAACAACAACAACAAATCTTACCAAACATTTCCCAAGTTTGGTCAATTCAAGAAAGCTTAAATATGTTTTCCTTAATAATGGAAAATATTTTTATCTGTTGAAAATTACTTGGTTCAGACATTTTTCCCATCTATCCTCCTATTATTCAAGAGCAGGGTGACAAAATCAGAAGTGACAAGTATAGTGCTGTTAATAAAATATCAGTTGTCTAGTTAAAAGAAGTTGATAGGAATTGATTTGCAATTCTAATGGTTATTTAGGAGGAGCGTCTCTGACTAGAGCACATTAAGTTCACTCAGTATTCCAGCGAAGATCCTAGATGGTTGCTGCATCCGTAAGATTTCTGCCCAGCAGCAGGGTTCCTATTCTTTTCCTTTCAATCCAGCCAAACAGTTTTCATCCTGTCACAGCTCCTCCTGTTGGAGCAATCATCTGTGACAGAGAACTACATGATTATTATTTTCATGGCTTGCTGAATACTCTGAAGAACAAGGTATAATTAAAATTTTATCAAACTCATTAGTAATTACATGTATGTCATGGTTAATCAGTTGCATAATTTTGTAATCATTGTTCATACTGTGGAGTGTAATTATTCTTCAGGCTTTGCCTGCTTCGTGCTTCCATCTCCTTTCCACACAAACATCTCCAAAGAATTACTCTGTGAAATGGCAGGGTTTTTTCCTTCCTTATCTTTTGCTCAGACAATAACATATACACCCTGAAATGCTTTTTAAAAATTGGGTATCAGAATAGATTCCATTGGCTCAAATAACCCTGATGAGTAAAACTACCATCTTCCCTCTATCAACCTTACTGTATCTCTTACCCTTTTTATTTTGATTTTTGATTTTGATTTTTTTTATTGTCACTGTGGTATTTGTGTTCTCTTGGGTTCTGGAGGTGCTACCTTGGGAATAACAATTTTATCCTATAGTCATCATTGCCAAGCCTCTTCCCCACACAGAAAGGAAATTGCACTTCTTCAAGGCACTTTCCTGAAGTGTTTTGAATGAAACAGTTTAATCAATTCTAAACATTCTAACACTTTTCTAATGTTCTGATCAACTTTCAACTAGATGAAAAGATTTATTATATTTTATTTTAATGCCTTTGGAGCATCTCAGCACAACAGGTGAAAACTAGCAGGTGGTTTCCTCCGTTTTGAAGAGGGAAACATAAAAAACTGTTGTGTATTTCCAAATTCCCTCCAAGACCCCAAGAAAAAAGAAGAGGAAATTTTAGCCCTGGTTCCACCCACTTTGCATCATCAGCTTATCCATCATGGCCTCCTCTTCTCTAAAAAGATATATATGCGTGCAGACTCATCCACCAAAAGATTCACTCTGCCTCTAGAGCATAGGGTTAGTCACAACCCCTGGAAACAACGGAACACAGCCCAGTCTTTATTAACTGGGGCGTCCCATTCATAGCTGGAAGAGATGATTGGGCTTTGGAGCATGTGCTTTCAAAGAAATTGCTGAAGTGAAGGAACAATAGAGAGCCTGATACTCCCCTAGGGAGATAAGGAAGTGCCAAGTAATGTGGAGCCCGAGGAAGACAGACAAGAATGCACCTAGGCTTGGATGCAAAAAACAGGGGTACCTCTGTTCATTTGGACTAACTGACGTGCTGAGCATCCTCACCTACCCATGGGGAACTGTTTCCTCTTTTTAAAACAGCCACAACTTCACTGCATTACGCTGGGATGTGTGAGCAGTATGGAAAATAAACATCCCCTTCTTTCCTGAACATAGGTGGATTCTCAGAATATTCAAGAGCACCACTTCCATCTAGAAAACACATTCCTTCTCCCTCGCTCACATCAATAGTATGTGCCTTCACAGCTTTCAGAGAGCTATATTTATTTTATAATTTGTCTTTCTCTATCTGATCATCCAGTTTCTGCATTAAAGCAAATTGACTCCTGTTAGTTCTGTCTTTGAAGTATGAGATAAAACTGCTATACTGTTACTTGCTGGACATTTAAATAATATGCATATAATCCCTTGTTAACTATGGGTCTCTGCTGTGTACACATGGACAGTTTTTTCCCCCCTCTGATGCTCTTAGTTTGATCTCTGCCATTTTGGAGTAAATTTGCTAAATTGTTCCTGCTGAATATATTTCTTGTTTGGCATGTACATATGGCCAGGGAGATAATTTAAATAGGAATATTTAAAATGCATCCACAGTTCTCATGGCTGTCTTGACACAAATCTCCAGGCCTCCAGTGAAATCAATAAAAAAGGACTTTGTATTGGGTAAATGGGGTATGGAACATCTGAAGACACTATAGCCATCCACACACATTATAACCTGACATAGTTCTCAGGCTTCATGGATATAAACTTGTCAGTTTGCTTCAAAGAGGATGGGTGAGACTGGAGTCAAGTAATAGGTATCCAAAAACGTTTTGTATAGTAGGTTAAATTTAAAACAGTCGAGCTTTACAGGTGGTCCTAATTTAACAATCACTCATTCAGTGACCATTCAAACTTGCAACGGTGCTGAACAAGTGGTAGTTACAACCAGTCCTTGAAGTTCCGGCCATCGCAGCTTCCCTGCAGTCACGTGATCACAATTTGCAATGTTCCCTGCTGGCTTCCCACAAACAAAGTCAGTGGGGAAGCCAGCAGGAAGTCGGAAGTTTCAGTCATGTGAGGTCTTCGCTTAATGACCTGCATGGTCCTCACTTAACGATGGTAACCAGTGACTGCTGGAACTGCTGTTGCTAAGTGGTGCATTCATGTGACATTGCGCTTTACACTGCATCGCTTAGTGATGGAAATTCCGGTCCCAGTAACTGTCATTAATGAGGACTACCTGTACTCATTTTTAGTGTTGTATGAAAAGATGAGGGACATAGCAGCTGAATGAAACTTAGGGTGGCTCAATCACACTGAATATGCTTTGTTGAATTGGTGCTTTCAAGATGCATATGTTGGCTGTTCCTCATGCCATCCACAGATACCAATACCCAATGATAAGATGGCCAGTAGTGCTCATTCTAGCATCTTGGCATTGGTTTCTATGCTTTCTGAAAAACTGGAACAAATGTTTACCTCAGCTTTACCACCTGGTACAGAGTGGATAGCTTCTTAAAATTCTGGTGGCTGTTTAACTTCTCCAGCACTAATTTCTAGTTGAAAGTAGAAGCACGGTTTCATGGCATCCTCATTCCACGAAGTGTTTGAAAGAGGAGCACTCATCTGATTGGATGAGCAGCAAATGCTAAAATACATTTGGCCCGTTTTTAAATCACAGTGGAGTCACTGATATATTTGCTTCAAGGTAGCAAGATACCCGCATATTTCTGGCTTCTACTTTGCTGTCTCATCCAAAGCTCTAGCTGGTAAGGACTCTCCTTCCTTATTCACATTCCCAGTTGAGCAACCTGTGTTGTCCCCTACACTAAAAGTACTGGCAGCTGTGCGTTTCTCAGTAACAGCAAGGGTCATAGCTCATGGAGTTAACTCAGTCCCAGGACTACTCTTCTGCTTTCTTACCAGACTCCTTGCCTTAGTGATAGAAAAGTTGTTTTTTTCCCAAATGCAAGTGACCAGGCTGGCCAAGCTAGATCAGGCAACCACTTGAGTAAGAGAGGCAGAACAGGATAACAGTAGACAGTGCTTCCCTTCCTCCCTCTCTTTAGTTTCCCTAGGCAGTATAGCTGGTTTTGACCACAGCTTCTTTGCATTGGGAGATGGAAGAAGTAGGAATTGCTGGAGCCTCAGGAGTCTGAGTTTTAGGAGAGATTTTCTTTTCTTGGAGTCACTGCTTCCTTAATTGTAGAAGTCTGATGATAACAAGTGGCTTGGTCACCAATCCAGAAGGGGGGCTTGGCTTGTGGGGGGCATATGCCCTGTTGCCTCTCTGAAGCTTCCACCCATGCCAGACTTAACATTAAGGCACATTGATATGGACTAATTATTGTAATAATTGGACATGTGGAATCACAGAGATGGAAACACTGGATTCCACCTAATTCATTAGCATCATGCCAAGCAGACCTTCTTTTCCCAGGACTTTTCCTCCTCATTTCTCTTGTGAAATGCATATACATTTCTTTTAAAATATTTTGAGAGGTTTGCATGCCCCTGGTTTTCTTTTCAGACTGAAAAATGTTAATGTACCTATGCTAGAGGAATTTTAAATTTTTAAAAAATGCCTTCCACTTTAACTGCTAAAAAGGTCACTTAACATAATCTTAAAATTGGAAGCCTGGAAATGCTTGAGGGCATTAAATTATAAGAAATGTTAATATTTAAGCATTTTGGAATAGATTTCCCTGCCCCCATATAAATCTCATACGTGCTCTTTTGCAATATATCTTTCCTTTCCTTTCCTTTCCTTTCCTTTTTTTTTTTCTTTTTTGGGTTGAGGCTCTTGATTCATGGGATTGTGATTGGCAGTTTTAAACCTGATTGAGTTGCCTTTCATTGCTTCTCTTTGTGACTGTGCATGTAATTAAAGACATTCCTTGTGTGCATAAGACAGCAGCCACCACTAAACTAGGCTGTTTATGCAAACTGCAGTATTTGCCTACAGTTGGAAGATGATAGGGATGGGTTCACACAACATGCGAAGCCAGGATTTGCTTAATAGTTACAGAGAAATAAACCATAATTGGCTGGCTCATGCAACTCACTAATCATGTAGTAAGCTACAATGGACTGGGGTTAAAATACCTTAAATCAGAAACAACAAGCCACATTATCACTTGGTATATTATATAAACATGTATATAATGTAAGGGAACAGATTAACATGGCTTTAACATGGCTACTCATCTGATTCACATCAACCTTTGGTCTTAGACTAGTAACAATTGTTGACTTAAAGCTATTTTTCCATCTTAATCTTGCCCTGGAATATTGTGTCATCTTTTTTCAGTTTTGTTTCCAGAGCACTGATTTATATTTGAGCTATGTAGCTCTTCAGATTGGACAGAGGAAACATGCTTCTGACCACTCAGGGGCACTCATATGGAGTGTGGCTCTTTCTCCAGGATGGTGCAGCTGCACTGTGTAGCTACAGCACAATTCTAGGCAGAGATGCATTCGGTTTACGAAAGTGCTGACAGATGCTATACGTATGTTCGAACGTACCCTTTTCACTTTGAATTCAAAGTGATGCACAGCCCTAATTCATTAACAGACTGAACCTTAGTATTATGTAATTTTTATTTGGCAAAAAGTATAGTTATATGGGGATACAAATCCACACAAAGATTTTGGGGTGGCAGAGGTCTCTTTGATACGTTCTGTTCTGTTCACAGGTCACACGATAGATCTTGGAAGATCCAGTCTTATCAGGTATCATCTTCATTGACATGGCCAGCGTTCCAAGAAATAGCACAATATGGCTTTTGTTCAGGTGCAAGATACTTCTTGTATGCTCTGCAGAGTTGGAAATACGAGGACTTCCTTGGTACAGGATATAATGCATTTGAGGTATAGGATGGCTATTTTTTATGGGCACTTTACTAATCTTCCTCAAGTACATCTGCCTAGGGGATGGTGCTGCAGTCTGCTTCCTTTTGCAAAAACGATACCAAGGATTAAAGAACAGGGTTGGTATCCCTGTCTCGGCAGATATCTTGGAAATTTTTCCTTGTTTTTGAAAATAAAATATTGCATCAGCTACTGATTAAGTAAGTGCAGCCTCAAAGGTATTTAACCATCAATTGCTATGAATTCTACAATTCTGGGTCTTGAATGCAGTTACAACAACTCCCTTCTGTTCCATAATTTTTATTCCATATCATGGATATACCTGTGAGGAGGAAAAAGAAAAAAAAAGCATTTCTTCCCTTTCTGTTCAGTTAACTATTCTCCAATAGTTAACTGCGTAAGTCTGTTGATGGCCCCAAAGGGGGGGGAAACAGCTTTCCTTTCTTTTAGCTGTCCTGTGTCTCTAAGCTAGCTGTGTTGATTGATAAAAGAATTGGGGAGTTGAATGGATGATGTAATGACAATTCAGCATAAAATTAGGATATTTACAGATTATTTCCAGTCAATGTTTTGTTGGTTACATAGATAACAAGGTTTGAGAATCTGGGCCTAAGAAACCATACTCTGATCTTTCAAAAAAAGTTAATGCAGTTGTTCCAATATTTATCCAGATAGTAGATCAGATTCTTTGCCTAGGTTATGGGAAAACCTATAGTAGAGACACAGTTTCAAAATCTTGATGAAAAAAGTATTTTCTATTTGATTTCCAGAAAAGATATTCTCCCTGGTCATTCCCTCACCCAGTTCAGCAATTACTTTAATCAGGCTTATTATAGTTTTAAGTCTTTGATACCTTTAAAGTTATAAGGATATTTGTTGGGGAAATTCTATTAAAAGTCTGAGAATGAGGAAAGTATTATCTTTCGCTTTGCTGTGTTGTGCTTGGTTGAATTTAAATTTTATTTGGAGACTTGAGTTAGTTTAATTACCCATTTAGTATTAAATAAATGCTTGTAACTGACAACTGTAATGAGTACAAATCCCTCTCAGGGGCAAATTATTGTTTTTAATAATCTATTCTTTAAAAAAAATAATGCTAAACTCCCTATATGTATTAGGGGATGAAGGAGCCTCCACTTGACTTTGGCTAGTTAATACAAGGTTTTGGAGAGAATTTTTTTAAGGCTGCTAGAGGAAACCAACAGACATAGAACAGCATTATCTCTGGCAAAATTGATGTCATATTTTGATAATCTGGCTTCCCAGTGGAAAACTATATTTAGGGCCTACATAACATTTCATGGTAAATGGGAACATTAGTTATGAGGGTGGAGACAGGTTTCCTTTAACATAACTCATTATTAATCTTTCCTAGTTAACTATTGAAATCCACTCCCAGTTTATGAGCATCTGTAAAAATGTTCCATATCTGTATCCTATTATGGCTACCTTGATTCCTGAAGTTCTGTTGATATAATCTAGGAATGAGGCTGAGAGTATATAAATTGCAAAGTAATATCCAAAGTCAATATCTAATTCCAACTAATTTAGATGGATTGGAGTATCCAGGAAGAATGTAGTGGGCAAGCAGATGCACCTTCCAAACTTTGCCTTGCCCTGTCCTGTTTTGGAGTGGCCTGGCCTCCATGCTGTGACTGTATGACCTGCTGACTTTGTTATCTCAACGTTTTTGTAACAGACTATGTTTTACTTGCTTCAGATGCTATGTAAATACCAGACTGTGAAATATTAAAGTTCGTTTTAATCTCTGCAAGGCTTGTTTTTTATTATTTCCAACCCAATGGAAAATTAGACAGAAATTGTGTAAGGCAGGTCTGGATTCAATCTCTGTCTGCCTGTCTGTCCATCACTGGGAAACTAAAAAGAATGGGCCCAAATCTGAAGCACGAGAGAAGCTGGCAAGAAAAAGATCAAGTTAAAAAATAGGCTTCATCAGGCAGGGGGCTGAGAAGGAAAAAACTCCTAGAAAAATATCTCCCAGCATATCCCTATAGGATATGGGATTGGAGTATTGTCAACTGCTCCACTGTAAGCACCTTTCCCTGTTCCCCATCACATCCGCCAGCGCAGAATATATGCAGTCTTCTTCATGTTTCCCAGTGCATTCTTACACACAAGACCCACAGAGGCCACACATATATGTCTGCCTTGATTAGACCCTTCTAATCTCTCTTTTGCTGTCTCTCACATAGAGATAATGTATGCACTACTCTGATTAGACACAAACACACATACACAGACAACACATAATGCTTCATCCCTGATTAGGCCTTTACAGGCATACACACACACACACACAGACAAAAGCACAATACTTGGTTACACAAAGAAAATACAGATGCCCCATATGGCTACTGTTGATAAAGGGGTTGTAAGGATTCAAGAAATTATGTTCTGCAGGCTTTCCCTACCTTGTTTTAATTATGAGATTTCTTTGGACAAAGGGGGGGAAAGGTAGATTTTGAAGACAAATAGTGAAGTGAAAAAAGTGAGCATTATGCTCATGAAGATGAGAGAAAAGAAGCTGGGTAGTGTAGTAGTTAAGTTGTTGGACTAGCACAAGGAAGACGCAGGGTGAAAACCACCCTCAGCCACTGAAGCTTAATGGCTGACTTTGAGCCAGTCACTCTCAATCCAGCCTACCTCACAGGGTGGGGGAAATGGGAGGCCCCCTTGAACCCCTGAACAAAAGGCAGGACAAAATCAAATGAATAAACAACATGCGCTCATGCAACCTTTCTGCTAGTTTTCCTTTATACAATGGTATAATGGTTTGTACAATGTAAAAAGCTTAAGGATTGTAACCATTCTCCTAGGCTTGAGCCTGCACTGATTTGTTTATTTTGAATAATTGTATCCCACTTCTCTAAGACTCAGTCTAATTGACTGCAAGCATAGTCTGCAGGCATATAAAGATTTTATATAGCACAACAGATCTGCCACCACGTGTTTGTGCATGTGTGCATCTCTGCTTTTAAATTTAGTTTTACTGCTAGCAAAGGAATAGAAACCAAATTAGTAAAGCTATGATCAAATAATGAAGAACAAATTTCATCATAGATGGCTAAGTGCATAAAAGGTATTATTGAGACATCCTTTCTTATATGTTGAAAATCAGAAAATACAGATATGTAAAGCCTCTTAGTTTGAAACAAAAATAACTAGTTTCAAATTATGAAACTGTAATTCTATCCTTTTAGTTTTCATATATATATACAGTGGAACCTCGAGTTACGAATTTAATCCGTTCCGTGACTCTGGTTGCAACTCAAATTGGTCGCAACATGAG